AATCATTAAACTCTATTTTTTCCCCCCTTTTTTGGCTGTTTCTGTTAATGCTGCATTTGCTGTTTGCTGCTTTAGAATATGAGCCTTCCAGTTACTTCTTGGCCCTAGGCAGCTATCTGAGCTAGTCTGCCACTGACTGGCACTGTAGCTACAATGTGGCAAGCAAAGAAAGTGGGTCATGCTGCAGCAGCATTAGAAGGATGTAGCATCAATGTGGGTCTTGGCCAGTAAACGGCTTTGGAGCAGCAGCAATCTGCTGCAGCACTGCTGTATATTAAAGCTTCACGTATCTGTGTCAGACAAGAGTATAACATATATTGCATGTACATAAAAGTGTGTTGAGTTGTGCTTGTCACTGACAAGTTAACACTACTGCCAGTAAATCATAGTCTGTAATATGATCAAAGTAGGGCAAAGCATATCTTTAACCTATTAATTTAGCTGGGAACATGATGGTCTGAAAATCAAAATTGGCAGTTTTATTTATGTATATAATATGTACAATATTGTTGTATCACTTCCGATTGGGCATTTAGTTAGTATTAAGTTGTTGTGTGTTGTAAACCCATGCACTCTGGACATATTTATGTACATGGTACTGACAATAATTTTAGAAACTGTGTGTTATATCATTGATATTGTGATAGTTTCAAAAAACAAAATAAAAATATGTCTTCAGAAAATGTAAGAATTGATGCATATGCGTTTACCCTCCCTCGAGTGTGTGCAGAGAGTATGAAGTTGTTGAAACACTAAGTCAATGGCACTGAACCTGCAAATCAAACAAGCACCTGTGCCTTACAGGCCAGAGTTATCCTGAAAGGAAAGCGTTGAAGATGGCGCATCCTTGGGGCTCAGCAATGGAGCCTCCATCCCCTACTTGCTCTCTGTGTGTGTGTGTGTGTGTGTGTGTGTGTGTGTGTGCGCCCTAACTGTCCTTCTGGTGGTGGCCCAGATTAGAGATAATCTGCCGTGCAGACTGAACGTCATCATCCACGATTGGATGACACACCAGAGATGACCACTGACTCAACATGCACCTAACATGTCTCACAACATGAAACTAATTTGTTACATTTATTGTTGGTTGAGACTATGGCATTCACTTGTGCTGCATTTTAGTGGTCATCAACTACTCCCAAAAAGTAGCAGTGTAGTCAATTAATCGCGGAAGATGTATCATATTTTTTCACCTAATGGCAATGATCAGTTCTCATCAAAAAGGTCTCAAATGTAAACAGGACCAACCTTGGGGATAGGTGAAATAGCAGAGTTCTCGATTGGCTCTGAGTGGCTGTTTTAATTGAGCCGTGATCTGCAAGCCACAGTAACAGCCTGATTTCTTTCAGGGATAGCGCGAGTCTTTCCTTCTCAAACGTAGAAAATGATTGTTCAAACCAATCAATGTTCAAAAACAACCAAAGAAGGCCATCTCAAAAGCTCTGTGTAGATGAAAAATTAGTCAAATCACAGCATGGACTAGTGGTTTTGATAGTTTACTATTCTGTGAAACCCCTAGTTGTGACACTAGAAGATAATCATAATTATCCATTTAAAACACACATACATACAGCACATATTTTAATTACACTAGAGATGGGGGTTAAGCATTTGTTCCCACAGTGACAAAGTAAGTCATGTAGCCATAATGCAGCTAACCCTCCTCTCGGTCCCCTGTTGGTTTTGGATAGGCATTGACACTGTGTCTTAAATCATACTGCTGTGTTGGCAGGTTTCTGGTCAAGTGAGCATCAGTCAGGAGCTTAGTTGAAAATAGAAGTGGCAGACTATCAGAAACGCTAACCATCATCTTACACCATTTGTTCAGCTTTCGGCCTTCCCTGATGAGAAACTAAGTAGTAGTAGTAACTAGATGATCTACCGGATGTTAAACGAGTTTGGTGTAAAGCTATTCTAGATTTCCTTGCTTAAGCATACAGTTCATATACATATCAGGGTAAATGGAACAATGTGCTTTGAGAGAACCTCTTGTTTAAAATCCCCTGCTGGGCCTCAGACCTGCCTGATCCCCCTGTTTGTCTCCCCCTCAATAGGCACCAGGGAACGGGGGGTGGGGTTAAATCATATTTCAGACATAATCAGATTTTGCCTTCATCATAATCTCACTTAATGATCTACAAGACGCCTTTGCATTCTTTGTTTGACTCAGTTGTTGACATGATTACGTGAGCAGATTTGCCAAATACAGCCATAAAGATTTCATGTTGACAGGGTTAATTGATGGGGTATTAATTTTTTCCTCTCTGTTACATTGGTTTGAGGGGTGGCAACTGTTTGCTGGCTGGATGTTTCCGAGCAGAGAGCCGCTGTTAAGCCAGGGGCACGGAGCAATGCTGTGCTCAGGCTTGTGTTGAGATGCATTGTGGGTCAGCTGGTTGGTTGTTATGGTGATCTGGCAGGCTCTGTGCTCGGTGTTTGGTGTTGCTCCTCTCTCCCCTCTCATTAGGGAGACTTGTGATTTAGCTTAGCGAGCTCTCCTGGGTCTGCAACGGGGAATCCACTAGCAACCCCCCTCCTTCCCCTTTCATTCTGCATTTTTTGTCATGAATTACCCTCTACTCTCCTGAAAAACTGTTACAGCATGACTACAGGAGTGGCCACTTTCATGAGGTCTGTTATTCTGTTTTTGTTCTTTTCCTCTCAGTCATCCTGTCGCCTTTCACACCGTGACAGTAAGCCCAACCTATGATTACACTTTGTGGCTAAATGCAAAAATATGTTTCTACCTTAAATCACTTTCATTTCATTTTTATGTTTGAAACACAGCTACTGGCAGAATTTAGAAGCACTCAGAGGCCTGAGAACAAAAATGAAATCTGTATCACACAATCAGTGAGTTCTTTCTGTACTTACTGTGACTGCTTGGGGGGGATATTAGAAACACATTTCAATAAAATGCAGTCCAGTACAATACTACCACTAACAACGACTGCAGTAATGAGCAGATAGGCTACTTGAATTAACACCTCTTAGAAAGTGACCATTATAAGCTTCAAATTGATGTTGAATACAATGAACTGTGTTTTGCCTGTTTACATCACACAGAACTCTTCAGACATGCAAAACAATAACTTTAATTTGATCAGGATCATTATATCATATATAGTTGATAAATTATATAATTGGATTTGTGCCCAAACCTACCGTGTTTCAATTATCACTGCTAAGTGATAGTGCTCTGCATCAGTCAGACCCCAGAGTCGCACCATGTCACAGACACGCATGCAGCAGCCCTTTTCTTGGCAACAGTGAGGGAGGGCAGGCCAACCAGGGCCACACAGCTCCCAGTGACTGACTGCAGCACATCCAGAGAGCCTGGCCCAATCCTATCTGACAAGCCATTGCTGGTATAGCCTGCCCTGCCCTGCCCGTCACAGCACTAGGTCTGTCCAGGTCAGCACTTTACATCAAGGTTGAGTAGGCAGACATGCAGACAGAGCTCATGCACGCAGCTGGACTGCCACCGGCCGTCATCTGGGGCAACATAAGAAGTTGGAGTAGGAATGTCTGGCCTCTAAAGTGGAATTTGTAAGTAGTTGAAGGGAACAGGCACAGATTTGCACAGATTAGTCTCTAAACTGAAGATTGGAGAGTGAAGGAGTGGCCCCATGAAAGGAATGTGTTGTTTGTGACCTGTCTGTCCTCTCTGTTGGCGAGAATCAATTATTATAACAAGGAGCGTGTTGCAGTTAGCCAATAGTGAGGAGAGAGGCGTTCTGTACTGCTGTTGGCTGGCAACTAAAAGTGATACAGATAGAGGAGCCAAATATAGAAGGGTCATACAAATACTTTGACTGGATAAGGAGGAAGAGTTGTCTATAGAATAATCAGGCTAATCATTTCCCCTCCAGTTTTTCTAGCACTTCAGTCCTGACTTTGTTAATGAATCCTGTTGAGGCTTAAAAATAACCTTATTTACCAGCTACTGTGGTCATCTTAAAGATGAAGTAAACTGAAAACTGGGCAAAGACAGGAGTGCTTGATTTAGTATAAACCCAAGAATAAATTTATTTACCAGTTGTCTGTACAAATTAATACACTTAAATGGTTCCAACATCTTAATCATTTATAACAATATGAAGTTTAGGCAGATAAAGTACTGCTGGTTGTAGCCCCATGGCACAAACGAATCTCAACTTCTAATGAGCTAACAGGTTTACAGAGTTAAGGCGCTCTCTCTGACTGAGCTGATAATGTTGGCGGTGTATTTTAATGGGCTCTAGTCATTAGAAAGGGCTGTAATGGCCTTTCAAGTATAAGGAAATACACTTAAGTTTGCTGAATACAAATGCTTGGGAATGTCAAATGTGTAAGCAAGAGTGTTATTGTTTTGATTGTTGTGTTTGTGTAGGTAAAGAAACAATAGATTTTTAATCCTTTACGTTGTCTGACACATTCATACTCCAAAACTGCAGAAAAGACATGGAACACCTGTTACAGAAAGTGCTTTTCATTGTTGCACTTCCTGGTGATCTGGTTACAACACCTCATTTAATCCTGTAGTTTGTTACACATGAGTCATACAGCAATTTCACTGCGTAAAAGGGAAGGGAAGCATGCTGAAGAATAGACAAATAAAGGTAAAGCAGCTGAGGAATGACAGTGTGAGACACACGTGTTATCATATTACAGGCCCATTCCCTATTTAATGATTGTGCAAACAGGTCCAAAGTTCGCCCATATCTACGTGTGTGTGTGTGTGTTTGCTTGCTGAAAACTGTTGTCAGTGTTTCTGCTGACTCACAGCTGGTTTCTGGTGACCTCTAGAGGACGTTGCTGGTAAACTATGGTAGTGCCTCTGCAGTTGGAGGTGATCTCAGTTCTGCAGTAAGTGGTTCCCTGCTAGAGCAGTACAAATGTCAGTGTCCAGCATTATTGTTAGCTGTAATTGATTGATGCTGTCTGGGTGCTCTTGCCTTCACTGTGAATGGTGCCACCTCTGACAGTTCCTCTTCCTTCTCCCATGTGATTGGGTGCAGAGTGCTCACCTGGCAGTGATGGATGCCCTGATGGCTATGGGAGCCATGGAGACGGTGACTGCGGTGAAGACATGTGGTTCTGCTGAGCTTCTGGGTGGATCCTCCAGCTGGGAGGATGCTCTGCTTTATTGGGTTAATGAGGTAAGGCGCAAGCCAGAGAGAAACGATGTTTGTTTCGAACACACATCTTTATTGTATCTTGTCAGAAGTTACTCACTGACTTTTATCTTCCTAAAACATCTAAAGTAGATGATCCAATTTCTGTTTAGCTACAGAAATAATGATGTCTAAAAAAGGCGATACTGTAGGTTTGTGATTCACATGTGTTAACTATATTCTTGGCATGCTCTCAGCTAAACCAGAAGTTGAAAGAATGTTCTGAAGGAGCCCAGAGTGACACGTCTCAGGCCATTACAGAGCCCCAACCTGTTCAACCCTCTGTGAGTATTGCATTACACATTAAGCGTATTTCTGTTTCTTGTCGCACATCATTATGCCCAAACACATGTTAATCTGTCCAGGATCATGCATTCAGTGCTATAAAAAAGCAGCCGAAGCACTGTGGATTAGGCTCACACTGTTGGTTCTGCTGCTGTAGGCCTTTACCCACTCGTACTCGACAAGCGCAACTAGCTTTGGTTGACACAATAAAACTCATTGCTTTGTCAAGAAAGTTGTCTTCTCATTTCAAGAAAGTGCCGTCATCACAGCCCTTTCTCTTGTTTGTCTAGTTCCCCCACTGTAGGCTTAATACCTCTCCTTGTGCTCCTGTTCTCCATTTTCCTGTCTTTCTCTATTTCCTGTCACTCCTCCTCTCTGACAGTGTCCTACTCGATGGTACTGGAAACTTGTTCCTGTAAGTTCCTTCCTTTCCTCTGCTCTTTCCCCCTGTCCCTCCATCCCTCAAATGTCTTCATCAAATTTATCAGCCCATATCTGATTGTCAGGTGTGTGTTTTTTTCTCTCTCTCTCCATATGCTGGTGTGAAAATGCTGATGTGCATCACATCCTAGTCTGCACTAAATTGCACGTCATAGCATAAATGTAAACGGGCAGCGCGGGGGTGTGAAAGACATTATTTGTTGACACACGATTGCTGCATGAATCATAATCCGTACTCAAGCAGGCCTCGAAACTGCCATGTACAACCGGTTCCTCTGGTCCTCTCTGCGACAGAGGTGTGTGATGGCTGTGGGGGTTAATAGAGACAGGCTTATAGTCAGCTGGTCCCTGCTGACAGTGGGTTGTTTGTCTATATACTGTGTTTGTACCTGAAACATTTGCCCGCTCTCTTGTCTCCTGACACCCTCACTTGTCCCACTTTCTCATGACAAAACCTTCCTTCTCTCTGCACTTATAAAGTCTTTCCCTCTGCATCTGCCATTTGTTCTCTCTTTACACATTAGCATGACCATTTTTTACATTCCTACTGCAGTTCTTTTTTAACATGTGCCATTATTTTTCACAGTGTGAATAGACTTTATAGTTTTCACCCATGTTTGGAAAACCCTGAATTTTATGTTGAATATTTTACAGTATAATGAAGGTCACTGCAATATCTGATTGTAATGTTTGTTTGTTTGTCGTTTTTAGCTCCGCTACAGAAAGGATAAAATTCAGTCCAAACAGAAGCCTATCTTTCCAGTGGTGAATGAAGTCAAAGACCTGTCCAGTGGTTGTGCTGTTGCTGCAGTCATACATTACTATTGCCCTGGCTTGCTAAGACTTGAAGGTACCAACAAACATTTTAACCACAATTTTTTTATTTTTTATTTATTTATTTTTTATATTTGATGTGTTTATGTTAGTTTAACACTTTTTCCTCTCTGTAAGATGTTTGTATGAAGGAGTCCATGTCTGTAGCAGACAGCTTGTACAATCTGCAGTTCATCCATGAGTTCTGTGACAGCTGTCTAAAGAGCTGCTGCCACTTGACTCTGGAGGACATGCTATACACACCACAGGAGCTTCAGGTACTTACATTCACCCCCCCGTCTTTAATCTGATTGACACATTAACAGAAACATTGAGTACTATATTGTCTTCTTAATGCCTGATTTACTCTGTGTGCTTTTGTTTAGCTCAACTTGTTGAGCTTCCTAGCAGAACTGCTTAGTTGGTTTGAAGTACGAAGGCCAGAATTTGTTCAGCCAATAGACACATTAGGTAAGTGTCACCAATTTGGTGGTCCTGTTTAATCCCAGTAAGATGATAGTGACTGTAAGTCTTATTGGGTGTTTTTGTTTTTTTGTTAGATGGATCCACATCAGTAACACCAAATAGCTTGAGTGGTAACAGGTACAGAAACTCTCTGAATATAATTTTTGCTTTTGTGTTAGTCTGGCTTATTCTGTAGATAAAACACTTGCATGGACTGAAAGGTTGTTTCTCTGCCTTACAGTACTTCACCTTCTATCTTCAAGAAGCCTTTCCTCCCCATCTCCTCTCTTCCATCAGGTAAGATTGAGACTGTGTCCTGTCATCATTACATCAAGCCAAAAGTGTTTTGTATATGTTTCTACCATTTTACAATGTGGCTGTCATATTTCCCTCAATCCTTGTCTGTCTTTTAGTTATGTTTCGTGTTGTGATACGTCTTGTTTCCTTATTTTTATGTATATTTGACTCTTTGTACCAGTGATTCTTGGTTGATTTGTGCATCCCTGTGTGGTGTGCATGCCTTTACATGTCTATGTGTGTGTCCCACTGTGCTCAGGATCTTTGACTCAGTCTACCTCAATGTCTCATATAGAAGGAGTTGGGAAGACATGGAGCAAGAAACCTCTCAGGTAGGACCAATATATTCACTACCATTTAAACACTTTTTAAAAAACATATATTTATTGTACTTATACTTGCTTTTTTATTGTCTTAGTCGCCCCATGTCAGCAGTATCCTTCAGCATTCCTTTTGGCCTGGACAGTGATGTAGACATTGTGATGGGCAACCCTGTGATAACCCGCTCTATGAGTTCAGACCAACTCAACCCAGCTGGCCAAAACATGACCCGGGTGCCCTTCAGTCCCCCTGAAGACCTCAGCAATCTGCTGAGCAAACCACCGGGCCCCAACGGTCCCCAGAGAGCTTCCTGGGCCACTCAGACTCCCAGTATTCCAAGGCTGGCAGAGGAAAATGGCCTTGCGGCAAGTGAAACAGGAGAGCTGCCTACCATTGAAGAGGCTCTCCAAATTATTCACAATGAGAGCAAGATGGAGCCTCGTTTACACCCAGATGGGGCTCCTGATGGCTTCTACCTCCACTCTCCCGATGACCCTGCTAGTTCTAGACATAACAGCAACTTAGCACCCATCAGCTGCTCTGCCCCTACACGCTCAGGAATGATGTACCGGCCCACGGGAGAGTCCAGGGTGCCTACTCGCACCAGGAATACCTCTGAATGTTCACGAGATGATGACTCAGTCTTGAGAGACGGCAGTGTGGACTCGGATGCATCAGAAGACCTCCCTAAAGCCCAGTCCACTCCGACGACACCGGCTGCTGGCGCACACTCTGCTAGAGGCCATGGCAAAGAGGTGTCTGACAGTGGTGTGAAGATGACCAGCTTTGCAGAACGCAAAAAGAAGCAGATTATGGATTCTCCCAAAGCCAGCGAACCCTCTTCTCCTCAGATGACCACGTGGGCACAAAAGTCTGAAGAAATCCCCAGCAGTAGCCCACAACTCAATAATGAGATGTCTGAGCTGGGCGTTCGGCTCGAAGAAAAGCGCAAGGCTATCGAAGCCCAGAAGAAACGCATTGAGGCAATTTTTGCTAAACACCGGCAAAGACTGGGAAAGAGTGCCTTTCTGCAGTTAAAGAAGGAGCAGCGTGAGGATGAAGGCGAGGGGGAAGGAGGGGATGGGCAGGTCAGCACCTCATCCACGGAAGAAGAACTCTCTCGTTTGGCACTGGAAGAAAGGCTAGCTCGAATGGAAGAGGACGAGCAGCAGGAACTAGACAAACAGCGGCGCTCAGTGGAGGATGAGGGTAATGTTAAAGTAGGACTCAAACAGGTCAGTCACTCCAAAGAAAAGCCGGGTACCCCAGGAGAGAAGAGCTCTGGGACACCTGCTGAGAAAATGGTAGCTCCACTAGGGGACTATAACAATGCTGTATCCAAGCTGACGGCAGCTCTTAGCTCCCTGCAAAGTGACATGCAGAGGCTTACTGAGCAGCAGAACCAGCTAATCAACAAAAAAGCTCCAGCTTCCAGCAACAAATCCTGGGTCATTCCAGCAAGCCCTAAAACCTCCACCCCAGCCCCTGCACGTCTGCCACGAGAATCCACCCGAGATTTAAATTCATTCTCCTCTTCTCCGTCTCCATCTCGCAAAACCACAAACCACAACACTCCTCCTAAATCTCCTCATATCCATAGAAGAGCCCAATCTGTGCCCCCTAAAAGCCCCAAACACCACCAAAATAGTCGTCCCTTGGACGTTAAGGTCCCAACCCTCTCGAGGGTTCTCAACACACCTCAAAGCGTGGACCGCATCCCCCACCTTCGTCGTGGAAATCCCTGGCAATCCCAAGTCCAGACTTCATCCTCATTCTCCATTGGTGACTCTGACAGCCTAGATGAGCTGCGCTCATCTGGACCATCTCCTGTCCCTACACCTAAACTGACCCCTATACCAACTCCTACCCCGACTCCCCAACCTGCATCAGATGACATGCTGTCAGAGGTAGGCTCCAATGACGATCATAGTATATTTAGCATGGACCTAGAGGCCGAGCCCTTGCATGGTCCTTCGGCTAAGAAGGACGGGCTTGTAGGTGCTGGCTGCAGCTCTGGTGCCGCATCGGAGTGCTCCTTTGAGAGTGATGTCCCTGCAGGGATTGTGAATGGCAAACGCAGCAGCCTGATAGAGATCTCGCTGTCTGCTTTGCGAGGAGACGCAGAGGAGGATGACCAAGTACCTGACGCTTTCTCTGACTCGATGAGTGACTGGACAGAGCCGGAGGGGAAAGCAGGGGTTGGTTTCTTTTTCAAGGTAGGTGATTATTTTTAATGTATGTGCCATTCTAAAAGTGCTGTTTTTATAAGGTTACAGCATTCATGCCCTTTTGTTTCTGTTTTTTATTAGGATGACAAGGAGCGACCAGAGGATGAAATGGCCCAGCGAAGAGCAGCTTTGCTGCAGAAACAGCAGAAGAGAGCAGAAGAGCTGAAAAGACGCAAACTTGAACAAGAAAAAGAGTCAAAGTGAGACTCTTCAAATACGTGCATTCATAATCAAACGAATTTGTCGGAATATAACTGATGATGATTGGGATTTATTGATTTACAGTTTCCACTACTTGTCTGATACGTCAGTCTCCTCATGTTTTAACTATGGGTTTTAGAATGAAAGTTTTGCACATTATCGTCCTGTACTTTTAGCAAGCCTCAGTGGATGATCATCGAGGGCTGGGGGAATAAGAGTGAGGACAGACCCCAGACCCCAGGCACCCCTCCAGCATCATGCACCCCACCAGTAGAGGGGACTCCACAGCGCAGAGGCGACTTCACTAAGCTGGAGTATGAGAGGAGACATCAGCTGAAGATCATGGAAGACTTGGACAAGGTGCTGAGGCAGAAACCCACCACGGTTCGCGGTGTCAAGAAGCAGCGACCCAAAACTGTGTTCAGAGATGACTCTGTTCTCCCTCATAGCCCTGTCAAGGGTTTCATGGGTAAACAGTTCTGATGTTTATCAGCACTGGGCTTTGTCTTTGAATGCACTCTTCCTATACTTGCGCATACTTCCTATGCGTGTGTTTGGTTTCTCAATATAATGTATTTTCCCTCTTTCTAGGCACCAAGCTGAACAAAGTGTACTCCCACTCAACCATGAACCTGTCCTCCATGGCTAATGACCTGACTGTCAGGAAGTCTCCTAGGTACAGTGACCCTCTGCACAGTGACAATAGCTTGTATTCTTTTAATAAATGCTTGGTCTTTTACACCATGTTGGTAAATTCTGAAGTCCTATAATTGAGCTGGACAATATACTATTGTAATATTGGTATCATTATATGAGATTAACTATGATTCAGTGGAGAAAAATGAGCACCTCTGTGTATGTTGATTATGTCCACATTATTGGTGATCCTCTTTCAATTATATTCCGCCATTACCAATTGCCTTACCTAAAATATTGTCAGAATATTGATATCAAGTAGGGCTGCACAATAAAAAGAAAATATTATCGAAATCGTAATAGAAGTGCAATATCCAAATCGCAGAAGCTTATATTTTTTGATGAAGGTAAAATGTGTGACAAAACAGCACTATAATGAAGTACAGTAGTGATGCACCTGCCTTCAAATCGTGTTCTCCAGATGTAGGAAAAATGTTTGTTTGGTACCGACCCCAACAATTATCACTTCACCATGATTTAAATGTTTTTTCAGGCAAATTGAAAATTGTGATGCAAAAGTGATTAGTGTGTCTGCAATAATACACAGTATGATTTTTGTGTGTGTGTAATTGCATAGGGGCAAAGAAGTATGTAACACATTCACACAGCCTCAAGACCTACAACTGACTTTCCTCATTGAACTTTTTTTTTTCTCCCTCTAGCCGTTCACACTCTCCCTCCCGGCTAATGTCACCGGGCACCAGGCGAACAAGTGCTCAGAATGGAGAGAAGGACTGGGAGAATGGCTCCACTATTTCGTCTCCTGCCTCAATCCCGGAATACACAGGTCAGTGATATGTTCCCAATGGAGAGATTATTAAAAAAAAAGGAGAGAGAGATCTGGTGAGCATTGTTTTGTTGGGTTAACATTTGGAAATGCCATGTCTTGCAGGACCAAAACTGTACAAGGAGCCTAGCTTTAAGTCCAACAAGTTCATCATCCACAATGCTATCACTCGCTGCTGCCTGGCCGGCAAGGTCAATGAACCACAGAAAAACAAGATTGTAGAGGTAAGCTATACTGCTGTGTCAGAGTCCAACAAAGCTGTCCACCCTAACTAGGCTACAAGTGACTGTGATTTGCTGCCCCCAGCATTTCCCTTAGGATGGAGTTGTAGCAGCAGAGGTGAAGCAAATTTTATTCATGTTTGTGTTTTGCGTCTTAATTTGCTTAATTTACAGCTCTTGACATTATCTGTAGAAATTTATACAAAATAAAATGGGCAACATGTAATAACCAGCATATTTATTCACACCCTTCTGTATAATTAAGCATTTCATTTGTAGATTAAAATCCAAAAGAAATAACTCCTCATTATTTTAAAAGGTGACTAGTTTGAATCCCTAATTTGCTTTACTAACCTCAGCTCCTCCATTGTCACAATCATTCGTTCTTCTCTTAACCAGCCAGTTTTTCAGACTCATCACATTGAAATATAATTTAACTATCAGGATGTACAGTATGGTTACAGGACAGAGTTTTACACCAGTTTGCCCAAGCTTGTACCTGATGTTCTTAACACTGGACTTTGGTAGTAATGACCTGCAGCCAGCTAACGTTACTTCCTATAATTGGATGCATACACATTATGCACGGCCCTATTCCTTTAAGGAGTTACGCTTACAGCTGTTAACAGTACCTTTTATGTAGATGTCCTTTGAAGAATAAGGAGAAGGAGCTAGCCAAACGTTTTGTCATGCTCGCACAATGTGTGACTGAAAATCATTTGTAGCCAATTGATATTAATGATATGAGCGGTGCGCCGCTCCTGAATGACTATAGGGGAAACACTGGCTCTAACCGTGTTCTTTTTTTTTTTCCTGTCTCTCCGTCTTCAGGATATGGAGAAGAGCACAGCCAACCACTTCCTCATCCTCTTCAGAGACACCAGCTGCCAGTTCAGAGCAGTTTACACCATGAATCCTGAAAATGAGGAGATGGTACGGCTCACTGGCATTGGCCCCCGGATCATCGCACCTGAGATGGTTGAGTCCATTTACAAATACAGCTCTGACCGCAAGCAGTTCACTGTCATCCCGTCCAAAACCATGTCCATGAGTGTTGACGCCTTCACCATCCCCGGCCACTTTTGGCAAAAGCGCCCAGGGACTCCCAAGAAGCTTGGCACTCCCAAATAAAGACATACCCAAGATAAGGTAGAGATGTTACCTTTCAGGGAACCAACTCCCAACTTGACTCCTATTGTCATCTATTTTGGCCAGTGAGGCACTTGAGATTGTTCATTACCCAGTGAGACTAGCAGTGGACAGCATGACTGATTAGGCTTTTGGCCAGCTAACAACCTGGACCCCGAGAATAATAACTCTATATGCCAAGAGAAAGGGCCAGTCACTCATTCAGCAAATGTAGTCACAATAGCTCTATTGAGAGCTTCTGAATGGCTCTCCCTGGTCTACCTAGATTGTAAAATGTAATGTGAGTGATTCTGTCCGGAAGAAAAATTCTCTATACCTTGCACCCTGCCTCCTCATGCCTTGCCTTACCCTGCCCCCAGAGTCATTTTTGCGACTCCTAGGTAAGAAAAAGAGGGGACAACCACACTGCCTTTGCCCACACAACAGTATTTTGGGCCAGAGTAGTTCCCGCCCCTCTCAGTTCTGCTTGCTTTTCCTTTTGCTGCCTTTTCTTCTTCTTCTTCTTCCAGGGCTCACTCTCTCTCCAGTCTGAGACAAATGGCTCAGCTCTCAGTTCTGATAGGAGATCTCAGCTGAAAATGAATAGCAGGTAACACTGCTCTCATATGAATGTAGAGCACACACTTAACTACTCATTCCATTCAGGGGTGTTTTCACTGGTTGGTAAGGACCAGAAAATGCCATAGTGGGTAGTTCCTCTGTGGGCTGCACTGGTGGTGGCTACTGTGGTTGTCCGTGGACTTGCACACCTAGAAACTGCCTGTGCCCCCATAGTTTGTGCATTCCACTCCATTCCAACTCTCCTTCAGCTGTAGACAACTGGATGTTTTTTTTATACTATTTTGACATATTTTTGCTGGACAAATCGCTTCGGCCTTTGAGAGCTGAAAGAAGAATGATATTCATGTGACTTTTTCCTCTTAACTTGCTTTCTCATTTTCAACATGTGATGAATTGAAATGTTATCTGAGCTTACCTTGAAAAAAAAAATACTGGAAACATGAAGGAGGGCTTTATCATGTTTATCATTACGTGGATACAGCTCTGTGTGAAAATGATAATCAATGCTGATTTAATATATACTGAATGCTGATTACTTTGATTTTTTTTGACAATGATTTGTAAAATAAGTTGACCTTTGTAAAGCTACGAATAAGCTAGCCTGCTGCTTAAGCATTAGTGAGATGGATGTTTGAGATGAGAATGAGTGAATGAGAACGAATAGAAATTGTCAAACAGCTGAAAATTGCTGCAACATTTTGTCTAGGGATTAATAAATCCTTTAGGTCACTAGGAGTCTGTTTCCTGTTATGATTCCCTGTTTGTCCCTGTATTTAAACTGTAGGTTTCTTAATGAAGGATCATTCCGGACTGTAACAGCCCTCATCTTCCCCTCATAGTCTCTTGAGACTCCTTGATGTGTAACTGGGGGAATTTAAAACGCCAAACAGTTGTTGTTGGGTTTTTTTGCCAGTGTGTCCATGCTTTTAAGAAAAACACTTGACCCTGCAGTTGGTTGTGATCAGGTCAATTATCACCACAAAATCTGTGGGAAATTGGCCTTCTTCCCTCACTTTGCAGTCTTAAGCACTACAGCAGCTGCGATGGAGCAGCTGTCTTTCAAATCACTGACTGCCTCTAACAAATGTGTAAAATATAAAAAGATGATTGATAAAAGTGTGAGTGTCGGAGTGCATATGGAATTGGTGGATGTTTGTATTTATGTTTGTAAAGAGTAGTATGTGGTAGTTGAACACTATTTTGATTCTGTGCAATTCTCCCCTAGAAATCCCCATTTCACGCAGAGGTGTATTTATTTAGTTTGTATTAGATGGTGCATTTGATGTTTAGTTTCAGGTTCAACTTTTGTCTTTTTTTGGATGGTAAGTCACTCATTCATTTCATAGACATTGTCATAACTTTTATGTTGTTTTTCATTCTCTTCTGTTTAAATCAGTGCCAGCACATTATGTATGTCCATTTCATAAACTGACTATCCTTGGCAACTGGACCAGACGAATAAAAATCTTTTTAAATCATCTATCATCCATGTTTTTTTTTCATTCCCGTCTTTATTTTTCCATTTGCATTGTTTATATTTTGTTAGAATTTTGAATGGGTGCAGTTGGTATTAGTTAGTGCCAAAATCTTGCTGCATAAACCGTAACATGTTATAATGGTGAAACACATTCCAGGTAATTCAGTTACAGGTTTTGAGTACACAAGAATTTCCAAAAACCAAATTTCTTTATTCAATGATGCATTTTTCTTTTTTCTTTACACAGTTAAGCTCTTCCTGCTTATTAACACATCATGGTAGTGCTTGGATCTCAAATCTGCCCTACAATACAGACCAAAAAAACATTTACTGGGCTGTGGTAATACTGTTAATAATGGGCAACAAGTTTAGTAAATATTTCCCTTCTTTGCTTGTGTTTTTCCACTCACTTTAGTGATTGAGGCTGTAAGTGTTGTTAAAGCATGCCTGTTGAGTATTTGCAACAACCATCAAAATTTTAAAAAACAAACACAGTGGGGTCTGAAAGGCAAAAAAGAAGGTGCAAAAATCCACAGTAGCAAACTCGGGCTATGCCACTCATGTAGGACTAGATACAACAGCATCTTCTCAGCTGTGCTTGGTGTGCAGCATCTCAGTGAGTAGAGAGTTGCAGGGCAAATCCCCCAGAAGATGGCGCTGGTACAAATACTCCTCAACCTGCAAGCTAATGCTACGTACTTCAGGCAACCGAAGCAGCAGCTGGCCAAACTTGTCTGAGTGTCCTGGATGACTGTGTTGGGTGTGCTCCATCAGGGCCCTGTTCACCCTCTCTTGTATCTGCTCCACCTGCCTGCGGCTCTGCACTGACTTCACATCTAGAGCAGAAAGATGATGCATGGCTCACTCATCATCGACACAATACATGCATACAAAACCGCAACAACACCAACAGAAGCTTAATGCATGAGAGTAACATTAAAAGAAAAATGCACAACTAAAAGCTCACCGGGGTTGAATAGCACCAAGTACTTGAGACAGACGAACTCATGTCTGTCTAACTGGAGTGCCTTCAGTTTTGACACCAGGTCCTGGGTCCTCAATACCAGGCCACTCAATGTCACTCCTGCCTGTGAGATGATGGTCAACACCTTAATCTGAATCAGAAGAAGAGGTCATGATCAGAATTAAAGTTGCTGTGTAACCCAAAACAACAAATAATGTCCAATCTGACATTGTTGAATATGAAGTATTTTGCATTTTGTGCAGTTAAAGTTAAACTGTACCTGTTGTCCTGTGACCAGATATATGCAGCCCTCTTTGCCATAGGTCACCTGTCTGCAGAGGTGATCCAAGACCAGCAGCTCACTCCAACAGCTTTGCAGCAGCACCATCTGGTCCTCCACCTGTGGGAAGCATAAACAATTCTGATGTAGTTGCAAACAAAACGCTATGGCCTTTGACTTCCAGTAAGCACCCAACATATAGCAAAGAATAAATGCCATAGGTCCACTCACACAGCTAATTAGAGATTTAGGTTTACAATGTCATAATTAATCACCTTGAGCTCCTTGAAGAGTGCACTGTTCCTGGCCCACTCCACAAGCCCGAACAGAGTCTGGTCAGCCACTTTGCACATTATGCTGAATGTATTTAGGCAGTCATGTTTGCCTCGGCTGGCCTGCTCTCTCTGTAGAATGGCGAGGACCTTGGCACATAGCTGGCTCTCATCCTGCTCCGCCTCCAGGAGCTGACTTAGGAAACTGTGTGTGAGAGTGTCTGGGGTTTGTGTGGGAGCCTGGGCAAAAGGGGTGGCTGAGCTCGGTGTTGAGCAGGGGGATGATGCTGGTGTGCTTCTTGGAGTGAATGAATTGTTCAGAGTTGGGTGCATTGGATAGTTTGCAGGAGCCAAGCTGTAGCTAAAAGGCACTTCCCCTTTCTCCTGGAAATATCCAGGGAAGGTGCAGTGGTAAAGTCCAGGGTAGGGCAGGGATGGAGGTGTGAGCACCGTGTCTGTGTTCAGATTGTAGTCCAGAGGCATGGGCGGACTCGACTGCACCATGCCAGAGGGATACATGTGAGACTGATGGAAAGCATCAGAGGACAATGTAGTGCTTGTGTGACTGCTCACTAGAAGGTCATTTGGAGCTGTAGGCCCGTGTGTTTGGGTAGTTTCCATTTTAATCCTGTAGGGAGCAGCGTTTTCCTGATGATAAACCTTTTGCTGTTTCATCTGCCTGTCCCGCCGGTACAGAGGTCCAAATTTATTCCTGCCACCTCTCATACGATCTGCTCTTACCGCTATTGACAGAACATCAAACAAATCATTAAGGTTTTAAAACAAGATTTGCCATTGCCAGACATTCCCAGAGATGATTAAGTTGAGAAACCTGATAATATGCCCACTGCACTTTGAGGGCTCAGGTTTGCGCCACAATACAAAGTCATCATAAATAATCTAGGTCATTACAGCTGATCTATGACTTCTTAGATAAGTCATATGGGACAAAAGAACATGCTTGCCAGTGGAACACAAGGCATGTTGCAATAGAGTACAATACAAGTACAAAGGCACACATGAGTGAGTGAGTGAGTGAGTGAGTGAATGTGTGTGTATGTTTCTGTTTGGGGGTGAGGGTTGTTTTCTCTACCTTCTCTCTTCATGCCTACTGCCAAACACTTTTGGAAGCGGCAGAAAGGGCACCGTTTCCTTTGCGAAAGGTTCATGGGGCAGCTTTGTTGTTCTGCACAGGTGTAATGCTTGTTATTCTGCACTGAGCGTTTAAAGAAGCCCTGCAGAGGGAGAGAGAGAGACTGTGAGACTTTTGCTTCATTCTCAGACGATTACAAGACAATCCTGAGTGACAAAATAAAATTATGTATCATTATAGTCGCAGAAATGATATGATAATATCTTAGTTCTATGTTAGTTGACTGTGGCTGTTTGCTGTGTGCTACAACAACAAAGTGAGAATACATGCTTTTCCATGGACTGTCTGAACCCTGTCCCTTACCTTGCAGCTTTCACAAGTGAGCAGTCCATAGTGGTATCCTGACACTTTGTCTCCACAGATGGGACAGCTCTCCTCTGACTCTGCTCTGCTGTCTGCCTCCGTCTTTAACTCCTGAGCTGGATAATGACACCACAATTACACATTAAATGTCAAATGTACAGTATGACACAAACATCTGATACTAAAGTTAGCCAATGTGGCATGAGGTGAGACAACAAGTGCTGGTTGTTCAATGGTGATGGTTATGGTGATGTGCCAAGCTGCTGAAAACATATGCATGTGTCCAGAGAGCAAATTTTGCTCCAACCCTTCTTTCCTGTTCTCATTCTCTCTATTTCTTCTTTACTTTATGTTCAATGCAGAGAAGCCAAAGGTTAGTGGATCCCCCACCGTCTTGCATTTCTTTTCTTTTGCATCAGTGCAGGTAATATCTCAAGTCTGCCACAAAGAAGATGTTAATTAATAATGCCTGGAATGACAACAGAATTACTCTCAGATCTGAGTTAAGGTACTGTAGAATACTCAGTGGTTGAGTGCGAGGCTGACTTGTGTGTCTACTGAGGGTTTTTGTTCAGCTGTTGATAGAATAATGGGAAGTATAGGACCATCGCTCTTTTGCAGACATTACCTTATCACTCAGCTTGATATGCTTGACTATGATCACAGATATGACCCTTTACATAATACCCAGAGGTCACTGGTTATTGTCGTGGAAATTGTATATTGCCGGTAAGCGATTAAGCAAATAATTGAGTAGCAACAAATTGTTGTCTTTGAAGAATTTATTAAAGAGAATAAACAGAGAAGTACTATAAAACAAATACAGCTGGTCCAGAGACCTGCTGCTTAGGGCAGCTTCGGGTACATGGCCCAGAGCAAATTGATGCATAATCATTTACACAGTCTAGGTTTCTTTGTTTTGGGGTACAGGAATTCTCTCCCGGCCTTGAAGGAACATTCAATGAGAGGAAAGGAATAGCAAGTAAGGAAAACACTAAAACAATATCTCAACTCTGACCTAAACAACCCTACATGTGTGGACAGACTAATATAATGATTATAATGATAAAGAAAAAAGTTAATTATAAAAGAACATGTATAAAAGATTAAATGTAAGAGGAAATAATTTTCTGCCATTACAGCTATGAATTCCACAGGAACCTGTCTCCCAAATGAAAATCATATCAATATAATGATATGACATGATCAATATAATTTCTGTTCTACTTCATAATATACATTTCCAGACACTGGTAAATACACTGGTATCTTTATAACACTATACAAACTCAAACTTTATTTCTAATACCTGCCTAAAGGCCACTTTCTATCTTGTACTCACATGTTGATGAGCCTTCCAAAGTTAATAGACCCTCTGAGCAAGTGTCAGGTTGGTGGACAAGGGGCTGGGGCTGCTGTGGGCGATAACCAGGTAGATCCATTCTGGCTGATTGGATGGAACTTCTTAATCAGTCCACCCTGATCTTCATTGTTGCAGAGACCAGGAGACCAGACAGACAGCGCAGGAGAGTCACAGAAAGGCTGGCAGGCAGGCCCAACAGCCCTGGTGGACTGATGGTTGTTTGAGTCCCACGGGTGGACTTCGATCTGTAGTGAGAGTCATAAAACCTCTCCTGACCTCAACTGGCTGGCACTCCTATCCAGTCAGTCAGTCAGTTTTCAGTCAGCAAGCCAGCTAGCCAGCCAGCCCCTCCATGTTAGACAGTCAGATATCCACCTGTTACTGTAGTGAAATGACTCCAGTATCATTGAGCCATCCTGCAGCTCAGTTGATAAGATAAGAGTTAACCGAAGAGTGATTCCTGCATCATTAGTATTATGTATTGTAGCATTGGAATTCATGCAGTGGTGGAAGACGGGCACAGGTCCTTTACTTAAGTAAAAGTAAAGTAACATCACAACAATGTGAAAATACTCCATTGCCAGTAAAAGTAATATCTTATAAATCTGAGGCATTGTGCGATTATTAATGGGGGAAATAATAATAAAGTTCAGCTGCACTAATGTGTTGTCAGTTTTTGTGTGTGTAAAATAATGGAATGGATTTAACCTCATTGATCCTTGGACAGCTATTTAAATGAAACTATCAAAGCTGTTTAGAGGGGAAATCGTTCTTTATTGTAACTGCTAACATCTGATAGACAACTGACACATCAAACAAAGGGCCCCAACTGCATATTTCTATAATGAGGGGTTGCAGGCCAAGTCAAGTAAATTTTGTTCATATAGCCCAAAATCACATATTTGCTCAAGGGGTATTGTATTTTATAAGCTGATCATATGTTTATGTTTTAAATGTTAACCCACAAAGTAACTCGTAACTGTAGATTAAATATAAACGTAATGGAGTAAAAAGTACAATATTTCCACCTGATATATTGTGAAGTAGAAAGTACAAAGCAGCAGAAAATGTAAATATTTACAAATATTTTAAAAGTGCAGAATTTAAGTTAAACATCAGCTATTCATTCTTGAGTAAAATATAATGCATCCATCTTAAAATGCATTCAACAGTAAAATCCCAAGACACTTAGTTTTATTCAGTATTATATAATATTAGCCAATTTGTTGAATCAGAGACTGTGATTATATTGCTCCACATTCCCTGCCAGTGCTTGTGATGTTAAGGTGTCATTCACAAGCCCAAATGCTACATGCTGCTTTGAGGAAGCTCAAAGTGACGTCAAAGAGATAGGGCAGTTCAAGGGTGGATAGTTATGACACCTGCACATTAGCTTGTAAATGTGTTATGACATACATCAATAACTATCAATAGACAGTATCAGGTGTTCATCAATGACACCTGATACTGTCTGTCTTCTTTCAGAAGGTAAATCTTAATGACATGAAAAAAAAATTTCTACAATCCTTGATATGTCCCTGAAAAGCCACAAGTGCTGTGCAGCATGAGTAATCCTGGAAGTTATGGTGCGCTTGGACTTGATAGTGCCATCTAGTGGTATTGTTGAGTATCATTTTTCTAAACCAACCAGTTCTCACTCCCTACTCGTCACATATGGACGCATGGAGAAGACTGAAAAGTGATCGTCCGCCAGAAAACTGATGTTTGGTAGGCCTATTTGTAATATCTTTGTTTATATTTGGAAAACGGGCTGTAGCCTAATTAACATGACTTACTGCCATTAGATGTAAGATGAAGACAATTTTGCAATTATCCTTATGACTCTGCATTATTTTACTTGCTGTGTAGGCCTACCAACCAATCCACTCTTTTTACCTGTTAAAATACCTTTAAATGGCCAATGCAACTCATAAAATGCAGTATTTCACTTGCCAGAAAATGATTGAAGCCTTTTGTTATTGACTGGAAGGTTATTTCTGCCCTGAAATTAGTTGATTTCATTCAGAAGAGTTATATTTGACAGATTATAGCTCACCTAGTACTTTTTACCTCCTAAAATATCTTTAAATGGCCAATACAGCCCATAAAATGCAGTAAGCTATTTCACTTGCAAGAAAGTGATTGAAGAGACTGGGCAATACAGCTTCAGCAGACGGCAATCAGTTGGTCAAGACCCATCGGCATCAGTTTGTAACGCATGGGGATCCCTATAGCGTCATAGTTCAAAGCATTGGGGGAAGCCCTGTAGCATCAGTTTTTGATGGTAAAGGTAGGTATATGATATTAACAGAAGGTTGGGGTGAATGGAGAGCCAGAACCCTGACTTTGACCAGGGCACTGGGGTTCCTGTCCTGTGTGAAAAAAATAGTCAGCCTTAAATATTTTTATTATGCAACTAACTTATGCAAGTGATGTAGGCTAACTTACATGTTAACTGACCAAGGTAGTTATTTAAACCCAAACCATGATATTTTCCTTACGTTAACCAAGTAGTTTTGTTGCCTAAATCTAACAAAATACTTTTTGTGCCTAAACCTAACCAAATTGCAACATTTGAGGACTTTAATAACGTGCCGTTTAAAAAGGGCAATGTATCGAAAGCTAGCATTTTATTTTGAAAGTCTAACCGGACGTTGTATATGTATTGTTGCTAAGCGTTGCTAACTTGACCGCGGAACCTTAAACGTCTAAAAATGTTCAAAAGCGACGCCAAAGGGCCTTGACCAAGCGTCAATATGTGACGAGTGAGAATGTGTTGTCTAAACTGGAGTCAGACTGTAGGCTTCATAGTAAATATATTAATATTAATATATAATACATCTTATAAAACCAGCTGATTTGACACATTTGAGGATAGATCCAAATGAGGCCTAAGAACAACCAAAATAAATCACTGCAAAAGGTAACTTTATTGAATATAACAGAAAACCATCAGCCATCTAGAGTAAAATCACAAGTAGTGCATGGTGTATTCACTTCATTAACATTCATTAACATTTTGTTTCTGTTTGGCAGGGAATTTATATGACACTTTGTGACTTGAAACAATGCCCAGCCACTGCATCTCCATGTAAGACTATTTGCTGTAAGCAGTCGTTGCACAGGGCTCATAACCTTTAGGAGAATGGAGAAAACTACGATTCCTCACTGCTGCTGGAACACACTGTGTCATCCTCAGCGACAAACCACACCTCATTGTGCCTGTTAAACAGCGTCATAGGACTGCAAGAAACAAATGCATGCACAAGCACACACACACAAATTTATTGCAGAATGAAATACTGATGTTTGTCTTTGGGCTTTTTTGTGTTTTTTCTTGTGATTATTACTGAGAAAATTATCCATTTGTTTACCTGTTATATCCAACAGCGTAGTGGAAGCCCTTTTTGTATTCTGCACCAGCTGAGTCAAGGGCAGAAGACAGACTGTAAGCTTTGTTTTTGTCAGACAGGCTCGTCATCCATCCTCCATAGCTCAGTACATACATATTCACATCTGGCGTGTCACGGAAGTACACCTGCATGACAGCAAAGTTTCATTGTCATTCAAACATCATCATGATGATTATCACTTAATGAAGGTTGATGTTTTATTTTTTCTGCCATGTTTTGTCAGATAAGCATACCTTATCATTAGTGGGTTTGGGGGGATCCTTCTGATGTTCAGCTGGCAGCAAGAAATACAATGTGTAGACACCCATTTCCCAAAATTTCTTGTCCATGATTTTCACAACGACAGGAGTTGTCATTTGAATTTTCGTTCCTAAGGATAATCATTCAGAAAATACAACAGTTTTTTTTTTTTTGAAATAGGAAATACATCCAATGTTCTGAATTCCAATAAAACTGTCCGCCAAACAATGTCCGCTCTCTGATCACAACTAAATACTGTAATTATAGGTTAATTTTAGCTGTACCACAAAAAAAGGCACAGATGCAAGCAAAAATTCTCATTTCTTTTGCAGACTTTAAAAAGTTATACTCAAACATCTGGAATGCTACTTGTATTATTGTCCGTGCAGGGTTGCTAGGGGGCTGGGGCCAATTCAAGCCGACATTGGGATACTCCCTGGACTGATCTGGAATACTATATTGTAAGTGGTGGGCTGTTTTGATTTTTTGCCTTATGCCTATGTATGTTTATTTTTGTGCTCTCTTTAAAATGTGAATACCTGTTTCAATAAAATATTAAATAAAACATAAATAAATAAGTGGATGCACACACACACATACACGAACACGTCTCACCATTCACGTTGGCACCAGTGATGTAGTCATACAGTCGTCTGAACGCTCTAACTTGTGCAATCTCCTGGAAGAAGGATGTCTCATCAGTTGCAACCCATTTCACAGAGTCATAGTGGCGGACCTTAGGGACATAGTAACATGGTAAGTCGGGCTTTTTGGAAGTTTATTGTATCTGAAATGTGAAAAGGTTTCTCTCTTGCTCATACACACTTACCTCATATTGGTCAGTCTCACAAATCAGGTCAAACAGCAGGCATTGTTCTGTCTCAGAACAGAACTGTAACTGAGATGAGTTTCTGTGTAATTAGAGGGGAAATTATTATAAAAGACACAGACGCGGTTAATTATCAGTAATCATCTGTGTCGTGATCTGTGATTAGTAGCTTCAATTCATCGTATATCCATTGATCTACTTCATGAGCTGATTAGTAATTTTCAAATTTGATTTGTGGAGGTAACAGCACTTCTAGTTTTCTAATAAACAAAAACATTTACTCATTTTGGTCAGCTGAAGCAATCCACTGAAAACTAGGCTTACCCAATTCTGGCCTCAGCTGTAAACACCAGCAGAAAGCCAACAAGCCCTGAAAGATAAATCCTGAGACACACATGTTTTCACTCAACACTTAACAAGCCATTTTTGTTCATCCGGTGAGAAGAGGACAGTTTTCACACAACATTTAAGTTTAGTTCATACGCAAAGGCATTTCTAATCTAGGATCAGTCTGGACAGTAAGATTGTACTTACATTGTGGCAGTGTTGGGTTCCGTGCATTCAAAAATTGTATCTTTGCAGTCTGGTCCAAAACAACTATTTATTCCAACTCTGGTTATGAAAGGAAAACTGGCCCCTCCCTGATTCCATAACACAAACCAGAGAATAGAGGGTTAGGACCAATGGAAACCCAACGAATTGTGAAACAGAGAGTCACGTTTGACTGTGTCATTGACATGTTTTGTAACTTT